TCAGCAACCAGGACGACTCTATTTAAGCCAGCCAAGCAGCCTCCTTAGTAGGGAATTTATACCCTTTTGGAAGTGGTTTCTCCTGTCCATGTTCTTTGATTTATGTTTCAAATAATCTCTCAAACAGCAAAGAAAATAATTTGTTTTTTGTCTTGCCTTTAGTGGGCATTATTTCAAAGGCTCACCTCTCCAATTCTGGTCAGTTTGGGTTTTCACACAGAAACTCAGATTTTCCATGTCTTGTACTGATTTATAGTCTTGTTGCATGCTGTTTGTTTCACCTGAGGTATTACCTTTTTTGCTGTTCCTCTAGTGGTATTTGCTATGAGTGCTTTTTGTTTGTTTCTGCCCATGTTTCATTCCTCTGTACCTTGTTTCAGTGTTCTCAGCCACTCTCTCTGCTACTACTCTGTGTGTGCTACAACTCTAGGCCAGATCTTATTTGTGGTTTTGCTTTTTAGTCATGTTAGCGTTGCTAAGACTAAGAATTTGCCAAGTAAACCTTTGTTCATATTTGTGCTACCAAGTTTTTGACTTGAGCACCGTTTGACAACTGTTTATGGAGAAACTGACCTTCACTGTGCCTTGTATTTACCTGCCCTGTAACAAACTTTTCAAAGTTACTGAAGGTCTCTATGGATTTCGGCTTGGTTGTATTTTGGTCCGAACCTTTTTACAAACTGTGCCACTCCCATTATCAGTGTCTAGCTAATTCGTGGTTTGAAATAGTCACCATCATGCAAGTGAGAAGAGGTTGGGTTTAAGCCCATCCCTTGCACAGCACTCCATTTAGTGTATGGAGTGTTCAGCTAGCTGTGCTGAAGCCAAGCTAGCTCCCTCAGGCTACTTAAAAAAAAAAAAAAAGACTGTTAGGAAACCTAAACACAGTCCTACTATTCTGAAACATCCAGCTCAAGTCTACAGCCCACGGTGACAGTACTTCCATTATTCATTAGGTGCTGTTTTTAACTGGCTGGGGGTGAATGAGTCTTCACCTCCACCCAAACACAGTAGGTGCTCGTGAATAATGTACACTTTATAAATTCTGAAACGACCTGCTAGAGGGAATCGTGGCTGGTTTTAAAGATTAACTTAAATCCAAAATCTCATAAAATGCTCAATATTTACAAAAATAAGTCAAAGGGCCATAATACCAGCTTTTTAATGCTTTTCATTGCATTGGTTTAGATTCCAAAAACAGCCAGTTTCATAGCTAAAATTAAAAGCTAAATGTTAATTTTTCAAACCATAACTGCAGTCATGTGTTTGTGGGTATGCATGAATGTTCAGCACTTTATGTTCTAACATAGAAAATGTACAATGCACATGAGTAAAGTACAAACTTTTCAGAACCACCCTTTTAGTCCACTGGTGGTGAATGAGGAGAATTACTTCAAGTTCCTGGAGCTGGAACAAAGTTAGAGATGGTTGTGTTTTGAATTCTCCTTGGTTTTAATATTAAAGGTCCATTTGAACAGATGCTTTGAGGCACCATATGCTCTTCTCCGTCATGTACTTGTAAGCACGTGTGACGGCCAGTGGCTGGGAAGTTGTCCACATGGCTGTGGCCTGTCCTAGTCTGAAATAAGCTAACAAATTCCTGAGATGCCTGTGTGTCCTCATGCTCATGAATTTGGGGGTGCCAATTTACTGTTCTTCCTCCAGTGATTTGACAAATGATGCAAATTAGCTGTAACAAATTTTCCACCTGTTCCAGGTTTATGAAAAAAAAAACTTGTGAACATGCATAATTAACAAAACAAAAAATAAATGAACTGCAATATGCAGTTAGGTTAAAACCAAGTCCTCTGGCTGTAGTTCAAACCACTGTAGACCTGATGAAATGTAAAACACTAAACAACACCACATCTGTGGCTGTTGGTTCCTTGTTGACCTGGACCTCTGATTTCTTCCTAGCATCCCGCTATCCAAACTTAAGCTACAAATACAGGGCCAGCTCATGTGTCTCAGGCCCCAGGCATAATCGAAACCATGGGCCCTCTGCGCACAAACATACAAAAGTATCATTATAAACAAATGAGTGCAAAAGATTTTTTTTTATCTGCTCCAGATTCATGTTATTTTCCAGCCAACTCGTGTCCTTTCTGGGTGAACAACAATGTGGCTTTCAGAAGTTCTGAATGTCAGTAGTAGTGTCATGAATGTGGTCATAGGTGACGCTTTTGCAAGGTTAGGGAGGCTACGCTTGTTTGAAATTGTTAGGCCTATGATAATATGTTGAACCCTGTTAATGAGCTACTCAGTTTGCTGATTATTTGGATGCATGGGTTATTTTGGTGAGAGGGAGACAGCTGAGAGAAGAAACTTTTATTTAATATAATGACAAGTGCAAGCAGTACACCCTGTTTCCTGACCTTGGTATTCGCTTGCTCACCTGTACATTTTAGTGCCAAGTGCAGGGTACATGGTGCACAGGAGGGAGACTTATTCAGATAAAACGGTTCAAAATAAGTTGTCTCACTGCACTGCACAAGAAGCAACGTCATTCTGCTGCCAAGCTGGATTCTTACAGCAAATGCACAACTTATGGAGTGATGCTTAAAATGTAAATTACTTCAGTAAAACACTCCAGCCAACCAGTGGTCTAATGTTCTGAACACAGAAAGCATTTTTCTGATAAATGTATAGAAGTGCTATGCCAGAGAGCAATGCCAATGCACGAGATCATCCGATGTGTTTACATTCTTTAAAAATACTTGTAAATGAGTAAGAAGGATAAAGGACTGGACCGACACAATCATATAAAGTACAGTTCTTATTGGGCTGTCTGCAGTATTTCTATTTCCATTATCTGTTTAAAAGAACATGTTTTCACACTGCTCTGCAACATTCTGACAGCAGTATTTTTTATTTTTTTTGAGAAGCTACTTATTTGTTGATGCCACAAGGAGGCCCCTGGGCCATGACAAGGCCTAGGTCAGCCAGGTACACATATCAGCTCTGTTTAGGGGGGGGGAAAAGTTTTTTGGGAGTGTGTAGGGCTATTTCTTGGCTGGTAGGCTGTTACTCTGGATGAAGATATGCTAGCTGTTTGCCTGTTTTCACCCTTAGCTGGCTGCTGGTTGTAGCTTCATATTTAACACACAGACAAGTCATCTACTGTAACTCAGGCAGAAAGAGAATCAGTAGGTGGTATTTGTTTTAATGTACTGTTGGGTAGTTTAATCTCTGTGCCTGCAGTATATGGATTGTGTATACAAATTGCATCAAAGTAACTAGAAACTAACACTGTAGTGTAGTATTATAAAGTAAGCTTCAACTGAGCCTTATGCTGAAGTACCTCAAAGCTGTAATTAACTACAGTACTTAGAACAAAAAGTGCTTAGTGACTTTCCACCACCTGCACAGGCCATACACACACAGTGATATCTTTGTTCTGATCAAAGGTGGCAGCCAAATAACACAGCAGCTTTAATGATCATCTTTACTTAAGCATAATAATCACACAGAGTTGACAGTTTTAAAGCATGTGCACAAGTCTCCACAATGAAAAGACCCTTTTAAGGTGCATATAGAATTGTGTGTCACAGTCCATTACTACTATCACAATCTACATACAGTATGTCCAAATGCAATTAAAATAACTGCCTATTATCAGTAAACATGAAAATAAATGTGATGGGTGAAGATAAACTGACAGGACTTCTCCAACCCTGTCAGTACCAGAAATGGATTATGATTAATTACACTGCAAACCCTGCTGGGACATCAGTCAGACTGACAGGCACGTGGCTTTTAACTCTCTTAGCTGGCTGAGTCGGGTTTAGATGAGCGAAGAAAACAAACCTCATCCCAACAGCCAAATTCTTCCTGTAGTTCTTTCACTATTGGCTGAGTAAAGTTAGCTGCAGCTGTTTACAGTGATGTAGAAAACAGTAGCAGCTTTAAAGACATAATGCCCTGACGTGACAGTAAGGTGAATAATGAACAAAGTATTCCTTTAATACTCAGCAAATGCATAGTCTTTGCAGGGCCGGGCTCAGTAATTTTTTTTATAGTGATGATGTGACAGGCCTTCGCCTGGGCCAATACATCATCATAAAAGCCATTTGTTGAAAGGCTGATAGCACAGCAGTGCATAGGGGGAACTTCTCCATCTGCTAATAAAGTGCACATTCACTGGTCATGGAACCTGGTGTATGTGTGGGTGTGAGAGGAGTGTGAGTTATAGTAATGGTCCTCGAGTGGCAAGGGAGTCTTAAATGGTGCTCTTTCAGAAGATAGACTGGCATCTGCAGGGCTTCAGCTCTCACACACATGCGCTCAGGGAAGCATGTGCCCTTACTTGTGCACACTTGAGACTTGATGTGACATTGTGTAGTATACAGTAATGTAACTATAGAGTTCTGAGGCACTGCACATGCTATAGCACCAGTCCTCCAAAGGAGCAAACCTGTCACATTTTCCCAGAATGCCAGTGTGCTAACTAATGTTAACTGCAGTCCTCAGACCATGCAGCCCCTCAAGGGCGTTTTCCACCTACAAATAAGGCAGAGAGACACGGAGAAAAGTAAGCTGTCAGGATGTAGGGGAAACTGGTGCTGCTTTGTTTTTCCCTGTGGGCTGAGATGGGACATCTTCATGTGTATAAATAAGCATCCTCATCTACTGTTTTGGATTTATAGCCTGGGAGCTAAAAGTTTCTTCACACTTTGAGAACTGAATTAGGACATGGTTTTGCGTCTGTGTGTGTGTGAAAAAGAGAGAGGGAGGGAGCAGATGGAACATAACTCAGAGCAAGTAAAGGTGCAGCAATGATTCCCCCACCCCCCATGGACTGAAGGGGGGAAGTCCTCTCTTCTTCGGCGTCCCCTGCATGTAAATGGAGCCGAACGGAACAGAATAAGACTGGTTTAACACGCTCATCTGGAACCGACACTTAACTTTTTCAAGGAGGGGAGCTTTTCCTAGAGCCCCGGGAGCACGGCATCGTCACTGAGAATTTTCCACGGCCTTTCCAAAGGCTCATACAGGTGACAACTGTGCCCAGCTTCACCGCACCGTCTATACGGACGCTCTTGGTGCGCGTTTTGTCCAGCGGCACTGCGCTGCGTGAGACCCGCCGCTCTTGTTTTGACGTGACATTTCGCTTGCTCCGTCTGCTACGCATATGTGGCCATATAATGACGCATTTGAGCTTTTAGCTGCTCAAACACTGGCTTTGGGCGCTGGAGTGATGCGTCTTTGTACAAGTTTCCGTGCTGATTGGTATGTTCGTCATGTCCGCCTGGGGTAACTTGCGCGTTCCTCTGTCGAGTCACACAGAGCCAGGCTTGGTGCAGAAGTTGGTTGGGAATATTATTACCGTACGGAGCGCAGAGGAGGGACAATTGGTGACAGCGGCGTTCTGGGGGTATTGAGCGGCTGAATTTAATACCAGCATAATCAGCATCTTCGTGTGAGGAACAAAACTGCGGGGGACTGCTGCTGTTTACTCCTCCTCATTTACATACTTCCAGTTTTTGCAGAAGCCTCCCAGTCAATTTCAGCTCCTGAAACACAGCTGCGTAAACTTAACCAGATCTGGTGACATTGCAGCTCTCTGTGCGTGCTTGTGTCTGTGTGTGAGTGTGTGTTGAGCAGCCTGGATGGATATGCGGCTCACCGAGGGAATCTGAAAAGCAAGGGGGGGATTACTATCAGTCCCTCTTCTATTATACCCTCAAAATGGATGCCGACGACAGGCTGTGGAGACACCACTGGATTAGCCCCTCTTCCGCTGATCTGCTTGACATCTAAGCGGCACAAGCGTTCAAAGTTTGGATAATCTAAAAGGCTGAAGGTGTAGGATGCAGTCTGGAGTGAAGACGCTCTCGGCAGGTGGAGGTGCGTCACTCTGCTGCCTGCTGCTCCTCTGGCTCATCTATTCCCATCTGCTCAGAGAGGGTAAGGACACTTACACCTATTTGAGTCTGTCAGCAGCACCACCATTGTCTCTAGGGGCTTCTTATTGGGATGGAGCTGCATATGGTGTGGCCAGATCCCTTGATCCAGAGGAAAAATCCCTCTAACGTCCACTGAAACAGCCCTGCAGGGATTTCCAACATGTCTGTGCTCACCACTAGTCGGTTTAAGGGGATCTTGTTGTACCTTATGGTATTTTTTTTTTTGATTTGGTATCTCTATTATAATATTGAACTGCTAGTGTGTGTATAGTAACATTAATGAACTGAACACAATATGAATAAGAGCTTTGTTGTGGCCATCTTTTTGCAGTGATGTTCCTATAGAACATGATTTAAAGTTCGAGTTGTGAGTTTTGAATATTGTTTTGAATAGTCAAAACCTTTGCCTATTTTCTGATGCTGCAACAAAAAGCTGGCTCTTTGCTACCATGTGGTTGATAATCTGAGAAGCCATACGGTAATAGAGCCGCAGGTGAAAACCAGCTCAGTGTGGACAGGAAAAGGCCTGATGATTTTATCATTTCTCTGAGGTGAAGGCTATCTATGCCATGCTTTCTTCCTGAATTCTACACTGACTAATATAATTACTGTACACCTTCACCCTGACATATAATAAAAGGCAAACAGCTGTTTCCTTGCACTTCATTGGCTGCTGCCCGTGACGAAACACTTTGGATTTCTGCACCATCAAAGACGGAGACAACAGGTGTAAAGCACTGGAATTTGTTGGGACGTGTTGAACACTAGTTTGCAGATTAGATCTTTTAATCAAGCACTGGCCAGCAGTATAATTACTGCTGTGGAGGAGGGCTAGTGCCTTCATCAATGTCTTTGGCAGCTTGCCGTTTACAAAAGTACACGCTGATGTGAAAAATGAACTGCCTGTGTGCTGAAATGTGCTCTCTTTGCCTCTAATTTGCAGCGCCTTCTCCCAAAATGCTGCTGTCACCCGCCTTTTTATTGCCGCCCCTGAACTGTCTCTCAAGCCTCAGCATATTATCAGAGGAGCCACAGCAACCCTCCTCTTCCCCTCAGCCATTTATTATTGACTCATTTTCATCTGAAAATGATCTCATTAGCGTGTTATTGTCCAGAATCACTCAATCAATTTCTTGTGAACTTTACTACCCTTTATATTTATAGAGAAAATAGATGTTCCTGGGTTTGGTCTGATAGTTAAAACCTCTGCATATGAGCTGAGCTCTGACATGTCTGCCGCTCATTCCTCTTTCCAGCTCTGAGTTGAATTTTAAGGATGAGTCATGTATTTTTTTTTTTAAACTCAATTCTTGTAAACTTTAAATCCTCCTTTGAAATTGGCTGCTTCGACCATGTAGTTCTGACCACTGCTGCTGTTGTATCATTTCATCAACTAGTTTAATATTAAGATCAGTATTTTTATGTGTGTTTGAAGCCACTAATAAAGCGAAAGCACTCTTCACTTTCCATGAATAAATGTCAGCTCTTTACCACTTTCACCTGAGGGTCATGGAGGGACAAGGGTGGGTGAACTGGTGGGTGGGTGAGGTGAAGCCTTGTGGTGGTGAGAGGCTGCTTCGCCCACACCCTTTCCATAGCTCATCTATTGTGACGGTTAGGACAGGAAATCAAAGCACAGCGACCCTGTACATGCACACCACTGGGCCAACGCCTGCCAGGATGAACAACAGCATGTCAGCCACTCTCAGCGTTGCCGGTCTATTCAATGATGCATTTGGAAATGTCTAGATTTCCTCAGTGGACCACATTCTGTTTCAGTGGTGTAGTGAGGGAGGGGCAATTCCTCTCTGCTTTGTCAACCACAGACCTTTGGGTTGGTGTGAAGAGATGTGTTTATTTACTTTATTTATTCACAATGGAGATCAGGAGGGAAGAGAGAGGATGGAGCATTTTCATCCCCTTTTGTCAGTTGCAGCTGCTCTGTCGTTTTAGCCCTTTGCTCTAACTCAACTCACAAAATTTAAATGCCAACAATGTGCTAATAATGTGATCAAATGTGCCTTTTAGAAGTGACGATCCTCAGTTTCTTATCTTTTTGATGCTTACCCACTCCTGTGGTTTGCTGTATTGCATTTTTCAATAAACAGTTTATATAGTTAAAGAAGTTTAAAGCTCAACTAATAAAATTGATGTCAACATTGGATCAAATTGTAGGGAAGAACCCACAGAGAATTTAATTGAGCCTTTTAACCCTTTTTTTTAGGTCATTATTTTTGCTTTTCAAGCCCACAGACTAGTCTCTCTCCAGTCTCCATTTCAAGCAACAACAGACAGCTGTTTCCAGATGAAACCACTCTATGCTGCCTATCCAGCATCAAACTGCAGACAAGGTTAACACCCAGCTGTTGAATAAAGTGGTACATCTAACAGAAGAGCCAGGTGTCAGCAGAGACCAGAGAGAGTTTAGTGGAGAGTGAATACTGAACTGGTCAGAAATATGACACCAAATTTATGCTAACGCTGCTCCATGTGTATATAGACAGCCGTCATAGACAGACACACACGGATCTCAGGGCTTTGAGAAGCATCTTACCCGCCGCCATCTTGCACTGGTTAGTCTGGCTGTTCTGGTCAGTTCAAAAACTAGAAAACGCCAGACTTTTGTGCTGCTTTTGGATGTTTTAATGGCGAAAATGCCCAAACCAAGCAAAAGTTAAAAACATTTCACAAGTTAGTTTATTTTACTGTTATGAAGATGTTGAATAAATAAGTTAATCCTTCTCATAAACAGACTCTTTACTAAGTAAAGCTAGCTATCAGGTGAAGAAAAGTTCTTTATACTCATAAAAGTAGAGGTTATCAGTAAGATGCTGGAAATCAGCTGAGTCACTCTATGAACTATTGTGTTAAATATCTATAAAGTGATTAAAACCTTTGTTGCACTAACAGGACATGCAATGTTTGCTAGAATTGTGTGACATTTGTGTTTCTCTAAGGGACTTATTTTGTGTGTAGGTTTTCAAAAGATAAAGTTAAAAGAGAGGCATGGGCAGTAACACTGAGGAGAAAGGACTTTGAGACTAGTGACCAGTCTACAGCTGTTAGACAGGACTGGACAGACAGCGAGTTTAGTGCCATTGGCAAGTTGTTTCTATATAAATGCAGCTCTAATTTCTTCATGATTTTATTTTGAGTTGTCCACAACATAAGACTGGTTTATGAGAAAGTAATGTTATAGCTCTGCGCGACCCTTTCAATGCACTTTGTACTGTATATAAATATTGTATGGATGGAATATTGTTGTGGCCACTTGTTTGGGGGGAATCAATCAATGCAGATGTAAGTTCCCAATGGTCTTCGTTAACCATCGCTTCCTGTTTGGCACAACAAACCTAAAATGTGGGGAGAGGCACATATTGTTATAACAAGATGAGTTGGATGAACCAAATGACTTGAATCATGCTAGAAAGGTGTATCCTAAGCTCTGTTTGTGGAATAGACAGCAATGCTGCTTTTTACAGCAGGTTACACACCATAATCAGTGTGTCACTTTGATTTGTTTGAATCGTCCAGTCATTGCTTGAGTACAAATAACGGTGTCCAGAAGCTAAGAAGCAGAGACAGCAATCTATCCTGTCATCCGGCTCTGCAGTACAAGCTGTTGATGGGAATGACAGAACACATTTTATGAGACACGTCTACAGGCTGTGTCACACAATTTTTGAAGTGACTCAGTGAGGCTTTGCAATCAGTGCAGGACTCCATTGACGACGGGCTCATACAGTCGGCCTGCTTTCTGTGTTGTGGATTGCAACGTATCGCTGATGTTTTCTGTCAAAATGTCATTCACAATCCAGACTCCTTTTATCATATTAAATTATTCAGGATGATATTACAGCTCCTTTTTCCATTTTAATCATCTTTAAATTCATCATTCATAGGAGCTGTTTGGTTATTCTCTTTTAACCCAGGCAGGAGGGCCTCTCCGTGTAAACAAAGTAATCAAAATAGCAGTGAATTACAGATTTGATTTTATTTTAAGTGAAGAAGATGATTTTCATTCCAGTCTTCTTCAAGGCGGCATTAGGTATGCAAACGGTGACCTGCTTTGATTGTGACCTTGGCTCTAAATGATAAACATTATCTAGAAAATCATGCTTCTATAAGGGACGGATCAGTTAAAGTGTGAATGTCTTTATGGAACAAATAAAGACTTTTTACCGCTAAATCAATTGGACACCACAGAAGGCGCAGCTCCCTGCATAGCTTTTAGCCGTCAGCTTTGACCTTCCTTGTGGTTGAGTGTAGCTCACTGCTCAGTATATTTCTTTGTGGAAAGCTCTCGGTTTGAGACCGTTCAGTCATCAGCAGAGTGTTGTAAAGGATTTGAGTTGGGTTCCTTTAGTATTGTGTCCTGTTCTTTATTTCCTGCTTTGCTTGAATATTAAAGGTACAGTTGACACAATCACACATTACTGTCGTGCACCTACTGGGCACGCTCTCCATTTTCCCTGTGTTTACATTAAAGAAGGAGGGCATCCTGGAAGCCTGTCTGAGTTGAATATGAAGTGCGCCACTGTGGCTTTACAGTCCTTTCTGCATTACATTCAGGAGAGCAACTATTTGCTTTTGAAAGGCATATTGCACATTCACTTTTTATGCCTCACCCGCAGCCATTCACAACCCATTTGTCTGAGTGTACTCTACATTGTAATGTCTCTGCAGCCTGGACTTTGCTGCATTACTGCCACAGAAAATTATTAGAAGCCACCTCCGTCATGTGTACTGTACAAGTCACGTTGTAGGGGCAGACCTGGATTACAGTGTCAGTCTCAGCAGGAGAGATACAGTATGTAAGGGGAATGTTTTCTATTTTAAAGCCACCCTCAGCAATGTCACAGCTCTAAATGTTAGAAAGTGGTAGCTGTATTAAAAAAATCTGAAATGCAATGGCCTAGGAGTCCTGTAAGAGGATGTTACCAAACTATGCAGCATTTTCCTGCTTTCCAGTGAGAAATAACACAATCTAACGCTGTTGAG